TTTGGTACTTTAAAACAACAAAGATTTGACAGATCGATACTTACTTTGTTTTTTGGCGTGTTCGTTTGAAAAATGTTTCCAATTATTCCTGAACATTTTACGATTTTTTTTTTTTCTTACAACTAAGAAGGTTACCATACCAGCATCACAGCAGCCTAAATACACCCTTACTTTTAGCTTTTTGCCTACATACGAGTTCAGTCAGCTTCTCAAGATTCATCTTTCTGCGTATTTTTTTAAATGCCTGCTCATACGGCTGGAGCAATCTTAATTCATAAATATCATAGCGGCTCTGTGGTAACTTACCTGTAGTGGACGTCGGTTTCTTGTGAATCATCAATTCCATCAATCCATCTAGTTTCGAAACAAAAACTTATAAATAATCGCTCGTGGATATTTTTCATGGTGAAGTCAATTAACTGAGGTACTGTACATACATACTTTATTGGCTCGCCCTCACGGGGCTTTTTTCCTTTTTTACTATGATGTTGAGTTTTATCTCAGTGCGAGAACCTGTGAGGTTATCCCCTTGTCTAGCCACTACTTTTTTTTCTAGACTTTCTTGTTTTTGCTTCTTTGGTTTCTTTGATGTACGCCACTCGTAAGCGTGGCGACTATATTCAAAGAGCTCAAAACCCAAATTTCCCTCTTCACAGTTGAACCATCTTCAGACAAGTGTCGACAGAATGTTGAGGTTTTAAATAGTGGGCAAGGCATGGCAATCGTTACTATGCTATGCTAATGACACTCCCGGAAATTCCAAGATAGATTTTCTCACAGCTTAAAGATTTTCTTTTTTGAGATAATGCCTCGCTACTGAGTGAATTTGAATATAGTCGGTAGGTGTTTCTGAAAACCGCTTCCAGCCACCTTAAATGTCTTTTGTCACTGAATATTGACAACTGACTTAACGTGTTGAATCTCTTTGCTTTACCTCTCCATGAAGTAGGAAACAAAAAACTTTTAAGAGATCTCAATAACGATTATTTTCACAATCATTTCCTCTCTCTTACCCCTTCACGTAGATGTCACTCATTTTCTCGCCGGTGATTGAAGTCTCTTCCATGATAACGTCTTTGGTGTTCCATATGATGACACGAAGAACGTATCTACAATAGGCAGTAACGCAAAAACGACATATGCAGTTGAAAAGCTCATATAAGAAAAAACAACCTTTACTAGACAACCTAGATTACAGTGACCGTAACGCAAAGAGCGCTTTGCGATTTACGACTGTCAGATAAAAGAAAACCAAAGTATTCATAGAGGCTGATTAAACCGAGAGAAAAATGTGAGAAGGAACCGATGAGAATTCAAAGTAAATGGACCGTAAGCGGCCACCAGTGTATGAAAACGTGACTGACCAAGTAACGATAGGAGCTGGTTTTGTACCTGAGTGGTTGCGCACTGAGATGGCTCGAGTTGTTTTGAACCAATTACACGGCATGTTGTAGCGCCGTTGAAAACTGAACCGTGTAATCCCACTTTTCTTAAGACAGTCAGTTAAGAATTGCTCTGATTACCAGACTATACTACCGAACACAAAGTAAGCGATTTTGTTCTCTTAGATACGAATAAGCAAGCAAAGTTCAGAGTAGACTGATACAATAGATTTGGAACTGGAGTGCTTCTTCTAGCATCATTTAATTTATTAGATGTCCCAAAAAAGTAAGAAAAATTAATGCGTTCTGCGAACAAATGCCTGGA